TTTTTTTACCGTGAATCATTGTTTTCAAAATTTAATTTTTCTCTGCTACGAGACTAATTATGTGAGGGATGGTGAATTCAATCACTACTGGGAAGACTTGGTAAATAAGCGGACATTTTAGATTGAAAGTCATTGACAGGTCTTCATTTTATTAGTTTGCTTCATGTTCGCGATTAGTTTCAATCAAAGTCTATGAAATTGCCTGGTAACGGTGAACTATGTTTATCTCGGTTTATTTTATAATAATTGTTTTCAAAAGTCACTTACCACAACCGAAAACAGTTCTTCCGAGGAGTATATCCTCAGTTGGACGATAGATTGCACGATTAAATTGCTTGATTTCCATTTCTCAACTTTGTTATTTCCGTTGAATTTTGGTACGTGTCTTCACAAATACACCAAATACATTTTCAAGCGTTGATGCGGTGAGTCAAAATAGCATCTTGGCTTCAAAAAACATCAAAATAACAGTCACCTTTCAGCTTACAATGAGAATAATGTGTTGGACGAAGCCTTAATTAGTTGGGGAACGTTTTGTAGAGACTTCATATATCTCACCATTAACCTCACCTCACCAAGACCCCTCTTGGGGTAGCAGATGGTACTTTGTGTAACAGTGAATTTCATGAACGTTGTGTTTGTTCAGTTGTTTGTAACTGAACGGGTCTTCGGCATTGGTTACCTCCGTATTGTCGAGTATTTGTGATATATATACATATATTTTTTTTATTCATATTACGTTTTCTTCACGGAAGTTTTCTTTCAATATTCTCGATTTAAATTGAAACCGAGAGGCGCAAAGGAAATTTGTCTCAAACATTCACCTAAGTAATAAAAAAACAAAACAAAAAAAAGCAAAACAAAGACAAAAAACGGAAAAGAAAATGTGCGTTTCCATTTTCCAACTTCTACGTAAGTAAACTGAAATTAGCTAAAAAGTCATAACCTTTATTTGTAAGTTATATTATTATGGTAATACATGCGTTTCAAATGAATTTTTGACTAATTTTTGACATACTGCTTGTCAAGATTTTCACTTAGGCAAAATCAGTGATTCAAATGAATTTTATTTATTCACGGTATTGACAGGTTACAATACTTTTTGAAAAAGGATATACATTTATAACAAAAACGTGTATGAGGTTGTAAAGCCTTGTGCATCTTTTTTAATACAAGTGTATCCTACTTAGTTATTTGTTTAAGATTTTAAGCATTTTATAATTTTTTAACCTATACATACTTGAAGAAGGCCGCAGGCTGTAACGCGGACCTTTTTGTTTTTTGTTTTTTGTTTTTTTTATTTAAAAAGGTGTTGACAGAATTGTATGGACAAATGAGAAGCACAATAGCTGGCGTCAAAATTTCCAAACTTTTGTTTTACCATCACATAGTAAAATATAAAATGTACGTGCATCGTCCATAATCTTGTATATATACATATAACATTTAGACTGCAAAGTTTTTGAAAATGGAAGTTTATAAATTCCCGGTATAAATTTTTATTTAGGGTTGTTTGACTTCCTTCGAACAAGAAGTATGACATCACGAAAGCTGTGAATCGGTTTATTGCTTTATATTTTAAAACAATAAAACTCCATCTACGAGATTTAGAGCTATCAAAATCTCAAACAAACAAAAAAAAGGACAGCCTATAAAAATTTTCTTATTTTCAGCGAGACTCACGAAAGATGGAACAGGAAGAAAAGAAAAATAGCTAACGATTGCAGAAAATAAAAAAAAACTCTACTTATTTAAAGATATTATCATTCCTTTTCCATTCTGTCACTCCTCGGCCCAAAATGCTTTTTTATCATGTTTTTAACTTGTTTATCATTATCATTATTTATGTCCATTTTCTAGACCTTTATGGACCTTTGGAGTCCTGTTATCGTCGTTGGTTATTTAATCTAAGAAAAATCTCTACATAAAGGTGGTCTAGACATTGTTTTTGACTACTAAAGAATTTACAAGTGAGCATGTGTTAATTTACGCCAAACAGCAGGTAGTAAAAGTGAAATTTCTTGCGTTCGGAAACTCAGGTTCAAACGATGAAAAAAATACAAAAAAAGATCTATATTGCTCAAGGTCAGGGTTAAGATTTTCCAATTGTTTTTCTTTTACAATATCATTAAAAAAATTGGAAGAAAGATGGGCGTAAAATCAAACTATATTTTTCTTGTATGTCCTTGACGTAATATGCTCTACTTCAATCCAAAGCTCCATTAGTTAAATAAAGATTGAAAAAAAAAGAAAGAAAAAAATTACTTTTTAGGTTTAAAGCATTTAGCCACAATATAATGGCGACAGTTTGACGGTCATGAAACCATTTTAATGCAGATGTCATGAGTTCATTACAACAGTGGTTGAAGCTTGATTAAACTTTAAACGAGTAGTCGCGCAAGATATTGAAATAACTTGATGTCGGTATCGATCATAATCTGACTTCAACATTGCCTTTATAAATGAGAGCGGTCGCTAAAACGGGAACACAAAATTGCTAACTACGTTTAGGTTCAGGCGTGAGATGAGTTCGGCATTATAAGGAGTAGCACGCCAGTATTGGTGGGTAACATTTTTTCTGGTTAGAAATTTCTGTAATGACAAGGAGTCAATGCAGAACATATGTTAACTCAATCGAACATGCAAAGTTATTGGATTCCTGTTCATTTCTCACCAAAGTAATATTTACATTGCTTTTTTTTTCTAGCCTCTATATTTGGGCTTATATGAAAAGCTGGTTTATCAAATACCACCGACGTGTTTGTCAGTTGAAATGATCTTTGGAACAGCTCTTGACATAGGAGAGAAATAATTTTAACATGAAATAGGCTTAGTACGTGTATTTTAACTGCAACTTTCCTCGCGATCGCTGAGCTACTAAGTAGAACTTGTTGGCTACATATGTTTATATAGTGCATACATCTCCATTTGCACAATCAATATTTACTCCCTGTTACAACCTCGAATGAAATATATCTTCATTACGGTCCCACAACAACCCTTTACATGAAGGGGAAAATGACAAGAAAATAATGAAGGAAATATTTTGCTCTTATCAAGACACACACTCAAAGTCAGGTTAGAAGTATTTTTCAGAGACTTCATTTGACACGTTTACGGCCCCCGTTTTATTAAGTAGTATCTCCTTCTTTCGTCGACAAGTTGCCATCAGCGGTGATCAGGCTTTGTCAGTGAGTTTTGTATCTGAGTAAAATATGCATAATTTGACTTGTTGGATGAATAAGACATTGGATGAATTACTGAAGTCATAGACTAATACTTCTACACATTAGGGGTCAGACAGTATGTCGTCTTCCTTTATCAGTAAGAAATCAATTAGTTCCAACTTTAAAAGAGACTTAAAGAACTTATAGTCATGAACAGTCAATTTGTTCACAGGAGCCGGCTTATTCAAAACGCGTATTGGTTAATCAGTATGTGTCAAGTAACATGACGATTATTATGTGCTAACATTTGATTTTTTCCTCAGTTTTGCCCTTCTTGAGATAAATTAAACGCCCACAGAACTAAAAGGTCGACATAGTTTTTCCTCGGGAAAGTCTGAGAAGATCTAAACGTATTATGATTCTGATCGTTTTTTGAACAAATGGCCCATGTCGGGTAACTTTGAAAGGTTGTAAAGCGAATCATAAGCTATCAACGGCCGTCCCTCATAGCATGGGAAACCTAAAAAAAAAATTACTCACTGATGGTAGTAAAATACAAAATAGTAAAAAACCAGTAGGAACGAAACATGGTAAAAAATGAGGACAACTGAAAGCACTGAAAAAAACCAAAACAAAAAATTTAGGCAACATTCAAGATGTGAGATCCGTGAATTCACACCTTTATGCAAATGTCTCTTGTCTGTTTTCAGTGTTCATGAATATGTCATTTTCAATTTGTTTGATAGAAATGAGGGATTATTTTGACTAAAAGTGGATGCTTTACTCTGAGTTACTGCAAAGTTTCATTTTGGTTTGATGATAATGGCCAAACAGTCGATTGTTTTGACTAACGATTGATAACTATCGGAGTTAACAGTCACAACTGCGTAAAGACTGTTCTCTCTACCCATATGATATTTCTTTTTATAACCTGTTTTAAACACGTCTGATCCTGTTCCCCTACTCATGCGGCATTTATAAGAACATGTATTCTTATCGAAAACAAAATATGAGGTTTTCATAAATTTTCCAATGGTTTTATCCCAAAACAGGCTTCAGTAGCCCATAGCTTTATTAAGAGATGAAAACCCATAGTCCTACTTTGCTACGCTAAATTTTCCCTTAATCTGAATGTGCTTTTGAAATACCCCCGGCCTGGTGAGTGACGTGCAAAATGCATTATTTGAGTTGAATTTCAAATCAGTTTTATCAGCTCTTGGAATGGGGCGCAATGGATTTGAAAACAAAACTAAGCGTAGCTAGTCGTCACATTTGCTGTATAACTGATGGTACTTCAGTAATTGATTGTAGAGGCTTCATTTAGGCCTGAAAATGGTGCAAAAATGCTTCATGTGTCGGTCTCAAAGGGTGGAAATTTTCATAACATTTTCCCTCGATATTTTAGAGAGCAAAAATAACATCTACTGAGATGACATTTCCACGTTCAAAAATGAAGTCAGTCTCAAAAACACTTTGCCTAAATATAAAACTTCAATGCTGCCTTGTTCGTGCACCTAGTCACCTTCACTGGAGTTGCATTCTTAAACGTTGGTGATTTTGATGAATGCCACACAGTCCATTCAGCTTTTCTTACATATCACATCTAAGAGACTCCTTGAGTCACACAAGTCGTCGTTGTTTTTCTTTATAATGGTCCGTCTTGAATGATCCTGCGTTAATTTGGATCTTTCTGATGTTATTTTCTTGTTCACTTTAAGTAGCCTTTCATTAGTACTGTAAATCTAAGGCTTCCAATTTATCACCGTCTATCCAGAGGTTAAACCAACTCAGTGTTTGTTTTCTTATTTGTTTGTCTTTGCAGTATGATGTATGAATCACAGCACCTGTAGTCTTTGCCAAACGTCATGAATTCTTACATAATTCTGTGCATAACTCGTGATATTACGACAAAATGAAAAGGTAGAGTGATTCGCCTGGTTTCTTCCATTGACAGGAACAGGTATGTGCCACTGTCGAAGGTATGGATGGTTTTTAACCATCTTGGTCTGTCTTAGATAAGGTCTAAAAACCCACGATGATATATCCTCTCGTTTATGCACTCGACTGGTTGTCGTGTCCCACGTTTCAGTAAACGATCGCGCGCAGGTTAAGATATGATATTTCTCATTAAATTGTGAGCAGTTGTTAATCATACTACAACCACACTACATCGTTTAATTATGTCAATGAGAGAAAAGGCCTTCATTGATTCCTCTTTAAAAGCTTTTTTCTAGCAAATAGAATGTTTATTGTTTAGTTTTACGACGCGCATCCTTGTAGATAATCAACATATTGGGAAAAATTTATCGGAGTAGATTCGTGAATCGAGAATTTCTCTATTTGACAAGTCTTTAGTATTTTGTTTGCTTTGGAACATTAAAAACAAGAGCTTGTCGTATTTTACTATTGTAGAACAGTTGTCAAAGAACTTGATCGTGTAAATATGTCGTTTTTTCTACGAGCTGTCATCATTTATTTACACTAAAATAGCAAAATTAAATTTTCTTCTAATTCTTTTGCAGTCAAATTTCCGAAGTGTCCCTCAGCACAAACTTATGGGAAAATGGCTCATCTACGATTTATTTAAGAGTGCACCAAAGAGCTGAAAGCAATTAGATAAGGTAAGAAGGACATATAAAACAAAGGTGACAAAAACAATGTTTTTTTTTTTTTTAATTTTTTAGTTTTCACACCCTTAGAATTAAAATTTGAATATTAGCTGGTGGCAGAGGGAAAAAAAAAGGAAATAAAAAAAAGAAAAAAAAAACGTCGAGCTGATGATTTTGGAAATGGCTTTAATTTTCGTGATGAACTTTCTGACATTTTTCCATTTTTTATCGCATTATTAATCTCTTGGTTAACGTTAGAATTTCCTGAAGTATCAAATGAGTTTATTATTAAAAGTTATTAAAAGAGAGGTTCGCTTTTCTATCATTTGATTTTAAAATACTTTTTATCCTCCTTTAAATTCTAAATGAGAAAATATCAGTTGCTGTTGAAGATTTACGTGTCAATGTGATAACTGACCCTACATGTAATTAAGTCCCAGGTGCAAAAATATTTGGCCTTAAATGCGATAAACTGAAATAACATCACGCGACAAGTGAAAACTTTGACCAATGGGGTTGACTGTTAGCCGTTGAGCAGACCGGAAGTTTAGCTGTTGGGCGTAAACATTGACAAATTTGAACCATTAGTCGCAGAAAATGTTACTTGTAATTTTTTTTTCTTTTTTTAATCTTCATGTATCATTTTGGGTTAACCGTGAACACCCTCACCCCATTAAGACGTTCTTTGGATGGCTGTAGTAGGAAAAATCATTACCCTGCAACATACCCATTAGTTGAAAGTGCAGATTTTTTTCTTTAATTGTAAAATTCTCAGTTTTCTAATCTACATGTTTCTTCGTTGATTCTATGTCTCTCCGTTGGAATTTGTTTTTCCTTTTTCATTTTTACTTATTTCGGAGAAAATATACTTAATCTTATTAAAAAATTTTTAAAACTTTCATTTTCCATTTCGAGTCGAAAAATTCAGCGCAATGGTACACAGTGGTATGCTTTGGCTCTTCAAACGAAGATAATTGTAGGAGACGTAAAAGCGAAAGGTTCATCAGCCTGCAGTGCACACGTAATTTTGGCGAGCGAGTGCTCAGTGTTTACTAAGCGAAATCATGACCATCATCTTTGATTTTTATGGAAGCGATAGGCTGAGGAGGGAACGAAATTGGCACTAAGGGGGTGAGTGACACCCCACCCCATCCCCCACCGTCAACTCTGACTCCAAATCAAACATGGCCGGTTGAGCTTCTAAACGTTATCTCGCCTTAATAAGACAACTGCACTACAGACTAAGGGTTCATTGACCCATGAACTTATTATCAGAGTTAGTAACGTCAAGTTTCAATTAGTCTCGTGATTTATATCCTCCATTAGTCACGCCGGTGTTATCATCCGCTGATCACGTATGTGACATTGGGTCTATTCAACGACGTTACAGATTTCGTGAAAGATTACGTGCTTCATGTCGTTACTAGTGTGAAAGTTTAAAACGCAGTTTTGGTGTACGTAATTACGTCATGAAAGAGGGAGGTCGCAGTTATTGAGCCGGGGGTCTCTCCTGAAAATTAGTGCAAACATATAAATGAATGTTTATTCAGCCTAAATGCACACCGTTTCCAAGTTCCTCCCATGTGGCGGCTAAGTCCACAAACCTTAAGTAAAGCTTCTTCGACTTCTGCACAGTTTCTTTTCTACATGAAATCTAAATGACGTTTTTCGGTTTTGAGCCATATACTTACAGCATCCAAAATGCCAAGATGACCCTCCAGGTAGGCCCCTAATTCTTCCAAAAGATCAGCTACGTGGCCATCATTGAATGTAAGCTAAAATGAAATTTTGTAAGCCTTAACACTGAAATAGCTCGAAAAGTTACAACAAAAATACCGTTCTACTGAATCACTGCAATGAGGCTTTCTTACCTATCGCAATTGCTCTTGATCTGACATTTTCCTAAATTGAAGAGTCTAGCGCGCGTACGTTCTTTGAAGACGCAAATGGTTTGAACTCGAGGTGTGAACTGCGAAATCTGGACACGACTTCATTTACTTATTCATTCGATAGTGAATTTGCAAATGGCCGCGGCCTAGTACGTTTCCGTGAATAACTTGGGTAGAGCAAGTGGGAAAGTTAAGACCTTTTCCAAGAGTCTGAGACAGGGAATTCGAAAGCTGTTGAACTGGTGAAAGGTTCAAACTTTGAGAAAGGTCCTTCTATTATTCAACACTTATGCAGGCAAAGAATTTTGATATTTTTTCGCAAAAAGTACCGGATTAACTAATTCAAACTGGGAGAAACTTGACTGAGTTGATCGGTTTGTGTGGGAGGCTCTTCTATTCAACACTTATGCAGGTAAAAAATGTTTATATTTATGGGCTAAAAATACTGGCTGAAGTTATTCTTTACTGGGAGAAACACTTACATATTGGTCATGACTTCAAACACATGTGGTGGCTTGTAAAGGAGCCGTTTTGTTTTAGCTCCGGAAAGAGCTGTTTTTTTATTGAGTACTTCGATTTTTCTTCAATTACTTTCTGTTGTGGCTACTTCTGATCCTGCAAAATAAAATAATGAAATTCAGTCGGGCCAACAAATTAAAAGTATCATAGTTCTCAATATGTACAATTATTGCACAGAATTATTTTTTAATGCCGTGCAATGCTTTGAAATGTCCTGTAAGATATTTATTGCCTGACATTGCCTTTATCCGTCTTCGTGATTGTTGATGTATGTGGCTATGCTACCTTGGTCATCCTCCAACTTTTTAATGTATGATCTTTTGTTTCGGTGCAGGTTACATACTCTTGCAAAAACTTTCTATTTTCTTTCTCCATGACCTGTACTGTGTGCTTGGAGTTCCTGCCACCCTTTTGTGTACCACGATGAAACCCGTGACTACCCATTGCTTTTTTTTTTTTTT